TTTTCTCCAGGACCATGACTCAAACGCAATTCATACAAGGTCTTATTTACTAACTTTTGCATGCATATGAGGTTACTGAAAACACCATGACTTGATCAGGTGCACCTTAATCATCAAACTGCAGATATCTTTACTCTTGAAACATTTTAAAAGATGTCTCACGCAACAGATTTGCCTATATATCATTTGATTTCTTGACTATTGCTTCCATGAGTGTTGATAGTGGATCCAAGCAAAATTAAGTGTTTGATTTCATTCTTTCCTCTACCATGTTATTTATTGGTCCAGTGGTTAAGTTTTTTTTTACATTGAGGTACAACTCACACTGATGGCTGTGGTCTTAAGTATTTTAAGTCCTCTTTGCTTCCAGTAAGCAAAGTCATATCATCTGTGTATTACAAGTTGCAAATGAGTCTTTCTCCAATCCTGCGGCTACTTTCTTCTCTTATAATCCATCATACAGACTGAGTAAGTATGGTGAAAGAATGCAACCCTGGTGCACACCTTTTCTGAACTATTCAGTGTTTTCCTTGTTCTGTTTGAATGACTGCCTCTTAAGTCTATGTACAGGCTATATAAAAGCAGCTTGTTTGTTAAGTGCAGTAGAGTCAGTTCTGACCCTGTATAGGGTTTTTGAGGAGTGGCTGTTGAGTTTGAACCACTTGAGGTAAGTGTCTATCCTACAGCGAAATAGGAAAGACACCTGCCAGGCCACATGACTAGCCAGGAGCAGATGTTGGGAAGATGAAAGGAAGGGCCTTTCTGAGGGCCAATAGAGAAAGCTTTCCCCTGGCACTGGCACACAGAATTTAAACTAGCCTCATAAACTGTGAGAAATTAAATTTACCAACGCCACTATAGTAACCCTTATCTAGACAGTCTTCACTTCAAGTGAAGTATGTCATATAAGCTGTTTTTATCCTAAAAACTGGCAGCAAAAATGATTCCTTTTAGTTTACTGAGGAAGCGTCCTGGAAGGGGGATGGGAATAATGGTTTCAGATCTTTTTCTACTCAATTCTGACTTCTCTCTCAAACAGGGTGCAAGGAAACACACTTGGAAAGACAGACAAGGTCTCTGACCAAGAAGTGTCTCCCATGCTCCTCCACCCTTCTTTGTTTTAGGTGCCATTCAGTTCCTGAATGAAACAATGCCCAGTTCTGTGCCATCCTCATAACTATCATGGTTGAGTCCATTGTTGCAGCCATGGTGTCAATCCATCTTCCTGAGGGTTTTCTCTTTTTCACCGATGCTGTCGACTTTGACAACTTGTCCAAAGTAGGAGACAAAGTCTAGCCACCGTCACTTCCAAGAATCATTCTGGCTGTACTTTTTCCAAGACAGATGTTTGTTCTTTTGGCTAGTACTTTCAGTATTCGTCACCAACAATGTAATTCAGGTGCATCAATTCTTCTAAGGTCTTCCTTATTCATTGTGTAACTTTTGCGTGTTTATGAGGCAGTTGAAAATACCATGACTTGGATCAGATGCACCTTAGTCCTCAACCTGACACCTATGCTCTTGAACACTTTACTCTTTTGCACTAGGTTTGCTAATGCAAACCTAATGCAACATGTAGTTGGATTTCCACGAACATTGATTGCAGATCCAAGCAAAATGAAGTATTTGGCAACTTCAATCTCTCCTCCCTTTATGAAGGAGTTAGTTACTGGTTCACTTGTGAATACTTTCATTTACTTTACAGTAAGGCACAATTCATATTTAATGTAGTCTTTGAGCTTCCTCAGTATTTCAAGTTCTCTTTGCTTTCAGCAAATACAGTTGCATCATCTGCATATTGTTAAGTGCCATTGATTCGGTTCTACTCATAATAACTATCTATGGTACAAGGAACAGCTGGTGGGTTTGAACTGTCAACCTTATAATATGCAGTCCAGTGCTTACCCTCTAGTGCCCCATTGGGACACATTACAGATTGGTGATGAGTCGTCTCCCAACCGTGATGCCACATTCTTTCCATCTTCTCAGATTATTTGCTCAGCATACAGACTGAATATGAATGAATGGTGAAAGGATAAAACCCATATGCATACCTTTTCTGATTTTAACCTATTCAGTATATCCTTCAGTGCTGTTTGAACGACTGCCTCTTGGTCTATGTCCTGGTCTGGTGCCGTAAGAGGTCTGTGGTTCAAATCCACCATTTACTCCTTGGAAACCTTATGCAGGGTTGCTATAAGTAGTAGCTGATTTGATGGCACATAACTTCTTAGTCTAAGAAAGGCTCCTCATGAGCATGATTAAGTGTGCTGGAATTCCCGTTCTCAATGTATCACGAAGTTTTTATGATCCACAGTCAAAAGCCTTTGTATAATTAATAATAAAGCACAAGTAAACATCTTTCTGGTATTTGCTTATAGCCAAGATACATCCGATATCAGCAATATCATTTGTTCAATGTTTTCCATTCTCTTACATCATTTTTCTTTGGAATGGGGACAACTATGGATCTCTTCTATTCAGCTGTCCAGGTAGCTGTCTTCCAAATTTCTTGGCAAAGACAAGTGAGTATCTCCACCAATGCATTTTTGTTGAAACATTTCAATTAATATTCCTAGAGCCTGAATGTAAAACTAATGATCAATCCACTATACTTATATGCTGTGTAAACTCAGCAAATAATCTGATAAACTTGATAATATGAAGACAATGTCATGTGGACTGGAGGAAGACTCGTTGTTGTTGTTGTTAAATGATGTCAAGTCATTTCTGACCCATAGTGACCCTGTATACGGTTTCTCAGGAGCAGCTGGTGAGCTTGAACCACCAACCTTGTAGTTCAAATGGCTTTGCTGTCTGGCACATTAACTCATAGCACCACACCATTAACAACCTGCAACATGCAGATGATACAGTCTTGCTTGTTGGAAGAGGACTTAAAACTGTAATCAGATTACAGCTTTTAGCATGGAGTGCACCTCAATGTAAAGAAAACAAAAATCCAATCAATAACATCATGATAAATGAAGAAAAGACTGAAACTGTTTAAGACTTCATTTTGGTTTGATTCACTAGCAACACTCATAAAAACAGCAACCAGGAAATCAAATGAGCCATTAGGGAAATCTGCTGCACAAGACAGTCTTTAAAGTGTTGAAGAGCAAAGATGTCAGTTTGAGGACTATGGTGTGTCTGACCCAAGCCATGGTATTTTCAATAACCTCATATGCATGCGAAAGTTTGAAAATGAATAAGGAAGATGGTAGAATTGATGCATTTGAGCTATGGTGTTGGAGAATGCTATTTAAAAGTACTGTGGATCGGGAAGAAGTGTGGCCAGAATGCTCCCCTAGAATCAGGATGATGAGACTTCACCTTTCATACTTCAGACATGTGATCAGGAGGGACCAGTCCCTGGAGGGTTAGCGACAAAGACCCTCCAATGAGAAAACTGACAGTGGCAGCAGCAATGGCCTCAAACACAACACTTGTGAGGATGGCACAGGACCAGGCAGTGTTTTGTTGTTGTGCATGGGGTCACAATGAGGTGCAACTAACCTGATAGCACCTAATAACCACAAAGATAATCAAGTCTATCATCTTTCTTCAACTGAAACAAGTTCAGCCTCAATTTATAGATGCTTTCCACAGTGAAAGGACACTGTATCATTCAACAATTACTAAGTGCCCAAATAACTGTATACACTGTAATTATTCACATTTAATGTTTGTGTGTCCTCAAGTCAATTCCAACTCACACTAACCCTGTATGATTGTAGAATGTCCCACAGGGACATTTTGAATCTGCTTATTTATATGACAGTCCCTTCTTATTGAACTGAAAGCTCCTGGAAGGTGGTGATGTTATGTTACTTAACTATGTCCCCTGCAGCTGGCGATACACATGATATATAGAATGTGCTTTAGAAACTGAATTAAGTGAAATGTTTATTAAGGCTTTGTCTTATCCCAAAATAATATTGAATAAAGCAATTTAATCTTTACTTTTTGCTGTGTCTTTAACAAGGGAAGTAGTCACTCTGAGTCACCAAATTATATTTTAATTTTAATCTGTTCCCCTTTAATATGTCCTTACAAGACAATGACCCTTTTTCTATAAAACCTGATATAAACAGTTGATGCTCAGTATCCACAGGGAATCTATTCCAGTGTGAGGATATCTATGGATGCTTAAGTCTGCTGATACAAAACGGCATAACTGAAATCCTTGTATTCATGCACACGCTCCTGGTATACTTTATACCATTTCCATATTACTAATACTAGCTAATGCTATGTAAATAGAACTATACGCTCCCTCTTAGCCTTTGAGAAATTGCTCTGACCACTTAACTGCTTCTCCCTGCCACCTCTACTGTTCCTTTTGAGCCCTACGACCTCATTCTGGGGGAGCTATTTGAACTGATGGTCAAGGATGATGCTCATCACACTGTCCCCAATCCGCTGTTCAAAGATGAGCCAATACAAGAGCCTTGTTAACACAGTAAGGGGACACAATGTAAACTGAAGACAGCAAAGGAGATTACTGAATTTCATAACAGATCTTGACTTCAATATCTTCAAATGCAAAACCTGCCATAATGACAGGTTTAGAAAGAAACTGTTTCATGCTTCAAAGAATATTTTCTTCTTCATGAGTCAAAAAATGAGTTTCTACCAGTATTAAAGAATCAAATTGCTCATACAAAATTAATCTGCTCTTCAAAGAGCAAATGAGTGTTCCATTTAAACAATCTTTACTAGATCCCTGAAGTTACTATCTTGTCACTATTTAAGTGATGGATATTCAATTGGATTTTTCTGCATTAATAGCTCTGTTCAATCCAGAAATGAAGTGTCATGCGGGACAGACAATAAACAGTTCTATAAAAATGCAAATTTTAAAAATTATTAAAATGTACTCAAAAGTAACACAAAGTAACAAATTCTATTACACACTTCTTAAACTGAGAAGTGTTCTACCAAGCTTTTTTTCATAAAGGAGATTAATCTTTAAAAGTTTTTTTTTGGGTATGCTGCTATTTTTCAAGCTTCTTCTTCTTCCTCTGTGGTTCATTAATGTTTGAAACATCGGTGCTTACTCCTGGTATCTAAAATAATGCAAATGAGAAAAAATAAGGAAGTTAAAAGCATAAATTAATCTAATCTCATCTTCATTTTTCCCTTCCACATTGTCACAATCAAATTTAAAAGGATGCAGGGGTACAAAGGAGAACGGAGGAAAGGAACTAATAAGAGTTTTACAGATCCAGTAATACCTAAAGTAAATGGTTCAGAAATGTACAATGGACACAAGATCTCAACAGGTGAGAAGCATGTCATTTGGGAAGTGTGTTGTTAGCTCTAACATTTAATCCTTTCCACCTCCTATTGATCCTAGTTGAACCACTAAGAATGATGGAGACCACAGATGTGTTGGGGCAGAACAAAGGTCAATGGCAGGTACAACACTGACATTTAATCTTTAAAAATGCAGATTTCAAGACTGTCAAAAGAGAAAAAGTAGGTGAGAGATCTGAAAGACTTCAGTGAGAAAACTGGTTTTGCCATGCAAGTATCTGGCCTCCATGCCACTTATGAGATTCCCTCTAGCATTAAACAGAAATAACATGCGATCATATCACTCACTTTCACAAAGCATGTTCTTCTGTTTGTTCCATGACAACAAGGACATTCCAAGGTTGGTCTTACCTGGGGCTCTACCAAGGACATTCGGATTTTTTGATGCTGAAGATTAGATGAGTCTAACATGATTTTCACTTTAACTTTATCAAATATGTGAAACACTGTATCTTCTATTTTAAGTGAAGGTATCTAAAACAAAACACATTTTATCATTCTTTTGCTTTCCTATACTTGAGATTAAGGAGCTCTGGTAGCTTAGTGGATACGAATTGGGCTGCTAACCTCAAGGTCAGCAATTCAAAACTACCAGCTGTTCTGTAGGAGAAAGATGAGGCTTTCTGCTCCAGTAAAGATTTATAGCCTCAGAAACCCTGTGCAGGGTCACTATGAGTCGGGACCAACTCCATGGTACTTAACAACAACAAATACTTGCGATTAAATCTTTACAATCTGTCATTGGGATAACCTCATTTGAAAACTTTGAATTTAAAAATGACTTCACTACTGATAAACATTTAGGTGTCCTTTTCAATGTATTTAAAAGTTAATTTGGGATTCCTGGTGTAGCACTGTGGGATAATGCACTGGATCATAAGATCAGTTTGAACTGCATGGTCGGTGGGGTTCAAATTCAGCAGCTGCTCCTTAGAAACCCTACACAGGGTCACCATGAGTTAGAACAAACTCCACGACACTTAACAACAAAAAAATTAATTTAGTAGCATTAGATATATATGACGTATTAATATGTATAACTCCTCTTTTCATTATCAAAATATGTATTAAAAAGTTTAGTATACTTTCATTAAACCTGAGATTCCCACTCCACTAATCAATCAAATTGTTGGTCAAATAAAGGAGCACAAAGGAGTTGCAGGCCAAGGTTTTAAGATATTCTTAGTTGTGGTTTAAGGATAGGGACATAGGGAGTGTCAGGTAAGAAATCCTGGAAATGGGTTAAAAAATTTCATTTCCCAGGGCTATAAACAGCTTCTTTATTCTTTTACTTTAGTTGTTCACTTAGTGCAACATTTAATCCAATTTGTCCTTAGAGAAGAAAACTATATGTAGTATAAAAGAAAACAAGAACAACATATATGATGAGGCTTCAAAAAGTTCATAGAAAAATGGAGTGAAAAGATATGAAATTTTCCATGAACTTTTTGAAGCTCACTTTTACTTATATGGAAAAATTCACTAAAGTTAGAAACTGCAAAGCTATGAGCTTAGTTGGCGTAATGAAATCTGGATTTTCTGGCATGTATTTAAAGATTTAACATAAATTCTGTAGAGCACAAATTACAATTTTACTGTTTATAGGTACCACTTGTGACCAGAAAAAACAGTGCCCCACTCCAAAGGAAAACAAAAATTAGAAACATTGTACCTCATCATCATAAATAAGTCGTGGATCTGGTTTGTCCTTTTCTTCAAAAAAGACTGTACCTTCTAGCCCATACTTTGGAATTAACACCACGATAGCATTTTTTCTTACAAATAAAATATAGGCTTCTTCACTTACTATTCCTTTGCTTTTGAAAAATAACTGTAAAACAAAGCACAACATTATTAAAAAATTTTATAAAGTCCTTTGGAATAAGAAAAATAAATAAATATTCATCTCTCCTAACCTTACTGACAAATAACAAATACCTGGGTATGAAATGCCACAGATGCACGTTGAGCATATTGAGCCATTTTGTGCCGGAAATTAAGATTTTTACATAAATCTGCAAGCTTGTGTTTATCTGTCAACTCTGGGTAAGTAGAGTCAGCCCCAATAGCCACAGCCAACAACCGATGAACAATGACGTCTGCATATCTAGATATATGAAGAACCATGATATATTAGCATTTTATGATATATTTTTTTAAATTCAAAATTATTTCTGTCTCCCTAACTTCGAAAGGAAATGCAGCGGCTCCACAGTAAGTACTGGATCATGAACAAGGTCAACAGTGCAACCGGACCAGCGGGAGACGAGGCTTTAAAACCTCAGAAACCCTATACAGGATCGCTATGAGTTGGAACGACTTGATGTCACTAACAACAAGAAGCAACTTCCTATGGAAAACATACCTTCTGATAGGTGATGTAAAGTGAGTGTATATTGGGGAGGCTAAACCATAGTGGTGAAAATCATTATCCATCCCAGAGCAAAAGTAAACAGCTTGCATCATACAGCGAGTGGCCAAGATCCGTAACAGAGTGTTCAGATAGAGGAATGTAGGAGACTCAGCCTGGTCCAAAGAATCAGCCAATGATTTTGCTGTGTCAGTCCTAATTTCCAAATTCTGCAGGTTCAAAAGGAGTGGAAAAGTACCAAATCAGACATTTGTAATCATATCTATCATGCCTTCAATACATAAGCAATTATATGGAGTACATACAGACTTTCTGACCAGAAAATCAATATTTATGCCTTAATGAAACCTGGACTTTCGGGCATGTGTTCAGAGATTTAACTAATTCTGTAGAATACAAAAAACAAAATACAACAAGAAAACCACTAAAAACTCATTAAAAGTATTTATGCAACACTGAAGTTAAAATTTTTAAAAAATGTATTTACATAAAAAATGCACATAACTAAAATAAGTTGAAAATACTTCACAGTTTTAATAAATTAAAAAAAAAGTTTAATGTACTTAAAAAAAACTTTCACATTGAAACTGTAATATGATTAATCCACCCATCCTATTATTTGCACACTTTATAAGCACTTTGTTTTTTCCACCGATAAATGTCTGAGTCCACTGTATACTTTCTAAGCATGTTTTTTTTCTTAGTAGCAAGTTGGCCTCTCTTCATCTAGTCATATAAAGTTTATCCTTCTCAAAGACTCTTCTAGCTGAGTCCTCTGTTATGTGATCAGTACTGGAAATTCTTTAGGCTTGTGTGACACAGAATATTTTAAAAAATATTATATACCCATTCTGCTCCCAGTGTGTATAATAAGTAAGTTTCTTTTGCAGCGAGTAATTATCTGCTTTGCTTCAAATTCTTTGATGGCATCCAATTGGTCTTTTAAAAAAAGTTTGAATTGAGGTATTACATAAAGTGTAATTCTTATAAAATAAATTTTTACATAAGTACATTAACACCATGTTAAGACCTACATTATACTGTCTGAGATTATTTTTAATAGTGTCTAGCAGTTCAGGATTTTTTTTTTTCTTTTTATTGCTGATGAGCATTCCACTGTACATATACATCACAATTTACCTCAATATCTCGATTAATATTTGGGCTGTTTGTTTCTAGTTTGGGGCTCTTATGATTAAAGCTACTATGAACAGTTTTACACATGCCTTTTGGTAATTGTATGCTCTCTTGGACATATTTTAGGAGTGGAATGTTGGGTCTCTGGGAAGGTATACCTTTAGATTTAGTAAGTAGAGCTTTAGTCAGCAGTGGTAAGTTTTGCTCATTAGTAAAACCTAGATCCTTATGGTCTACTTTTCCTTTATAATTTAGATAAAATGGCACTTCTTCAAGTTTTCTGATACAACAAACACTACCCTACTTCAGCTCAGTTACCTACTCCACTCACATGTGTACACACACTGTCAGTTGAGACTTACAGAGCTATACTTTTGAAAAGAAATTCAGACTATCCGGATGCATTTTAGTTGAAAATTACTAATATTTTGTTTGTCCTTACTGTACTTTTACAAGAAAACAAATCATGTGCTTTAGTCATTCCCTCTGCAAGACTTGTTTTATTGTTGTTACATATCGTTCAGTCAGTTCTGACTCAGAGAGACCCTGCATAGGGTTCCTAAGGCTGTAAATCTTTGCAGGAGTGGAAAGCCTCGTCTTTCACCCATGGTGTGGCTGGTGGGCTTGAACCACCGGTCTTGATGTTCAATCTAGTGTTTATTCTACAGAACTACCATACTGCATTTTATTGTTGTTGTTAAGTGCAGCTGAGTCGATTCCAACTCATAGTGACCCTGTATAGGATTTCCAAAGAGTGCTGTTGGGTTTGAACTACCAACCCCATGGATAGCAGTTAAGTGCTTATCCTATAGTGCCACTTCAGAACTCCTGCTTTTATAGATTAATAAAATCTTTTGACACTCAAAAATATGGTATATAAAATATAAGAATAATTCTAGTTTCTGTAACATAGGATGCTAAATGTTTTATGTAATTAAAGTCTGATTAAAATTATCTGGGAAGATTTTTTTTTTTTAGAATTTAGGAACAAGACCAAAATAAAAAAAATATAAATAAAAATTACATTACAAACACTATGGAAATTTTTTTCTTAATAGATTTCAAGTTTTAAAACTGTGGTTCTTGTTAGGTGCCATTCAAGTCATTTCCAACTCATAACTTGTATGGGGTTTCTGAGGCTGTAAATCTTTGTGGGCACAGAAATCCTCATCTATTTCCTGAGGAGTAGCCTGTGTATTTGAGCTGCCAACCTGTGATTAGCAGTCCAGTGTTTACCATACAGCAACCCCGGAAGTCCTAAGGTCCAAATCTAGACCTAGTTAATCTATTTTCCAGGATAAAACTTTTCAACAAAACTCTCAAGTGAATGAAACCCATTCAAATATTTAAAATAAAAAACTTGAAAACTTCTTTAATATAAAATGAACTCAAATTTCTAACTGAAATGGAAGGATTCTTCATACCAAGGAACAAGCTTGTTTTCTCAGTGCACTGAGTTCATAGGGACAGGAAATACATACGCACACATATATATAAGGAGCTCTGGTAGCATAGTGATTACGAATCGGGCTGCTAACCTCAAGGTCGGCAGTTCAAAACTACCAGCTGTTCCACGGGAGAAAGATGAGGTTTTCTGCTCTTGTAAAGATTTGCAGCCTTGGAAACCCTGTGCAGGGTCACTATGAGTAGGAAATGACTCCATGGGATTTAACAACAACATACATATATATAAATAAAATTGCACTGGTTAGTACAACTCTCAGATCTTACACAGATAAATGACTAAAACATTTTCGACTTTTTAACCCAAGTCTTAAGAAGAAGTAAGATGACAACAGAAAATCTCCTAATTTACGATATAAGCCTTGGAACAAGAGTGAGAAACTTGATTTTGCTTCAATGTGTACTGCAATAGTACCACCACAAAGGTCTGAGACAAAATCTTATTTCAACACTAGCCTGTTAGAATGATGCTCTGAGAACCAATACTACTCCTTCCAGATCTCTTCTAGACAGGAAAGAAGGGGCCTGAACAGGAGAGTCAAGAAAAGTCAGCATAAGTCACATTTGTCCAAAGGGTGACTGTACTTAAATAATTAATTAGGTCCAAACTAGAAGCAGGGCATGCTAGGAGCTGGAAAAATGACACCTTTTCTGTATTTTTCCTTTTTTCATGCATCCAGTAAATAGATTTCTTTCTTGAGTGCATATTATAAAGAGGGCTTGAGGTAGAGATGAGAAGCAAACCAGATACTTGTAGATCTGTGAATTAATTAGACCTTTCACAGTGGCCATAGAGCACCATATGCCAAAAGAACACATGCAAAGGCACAGAAATATAGAAATGCATACTATTTCCAGAACACTGCAAATAACTGAGTCTGGAACACCTGGCTTTAGCAAAGTGCCCTTGGTTAAGAAGCAATATAACACTAAAGAATGTATTAAATGTGTGCAGAAATGACCTTACCTGAGATAGACGAAGTTTGTTTGTTTTTTCTAACATCAAAATAATGACTAGCATATTTTTTCTCAAGAAACCATAAAATCTTTAGTTGTGACTATAAACTATTTAGTGTGATGGGTGCATCAAAACACAAACACAAATGAACTTTTAGACTGTACGGACCTACCTTGGACTTGGCTGCCTTAACGAGAATTTCATAATTTGATGGAGGAGGAGCAGGATGCTTTCGAAGTAAAGCATGTTCAGAAAACTCTTCATGAATTTTTTTTGCAACAGAGATATTGGCAAGTAACATAAATTCTTCCACCATGGAATTTGTTTCTCTGTCAATGGAAAGAGTATTACATAAGGAAAGACAATCTGAGACATCTATATATCTTGTTCACAGGCTACAAGATAATGAAAGCTTTTCCTATACAAACATTGATTTGTGCATAAGTACACATTGATATTTTTGATGAATTTATGGCTTATTTCTCAGCTACCATGCTTACCATCACTACAATGAATCTCATGCTAGAAATGGCTCTCCAACTGGCACTCAAAACCAAAGCTTTACTAACTCTAGTAAGAAGTACACTCTATCAATTAAGTACTGTCAAGCTTTTCACTGCACCAGATCCAAAGAGAGATTTATTTAACTTTAAATCAACAAAATTTAATAAGCAGAATTAAAAGTCACTTGTGGTGCTGGTGCTGGTGATGTGGCATGGAGTCAGTTCTGACTCACAGTGACCCTGTATAGGGTTTCCAAGGTTATAAATCTTTATGGAGCAGAAACCCTTATCTTTCTCCCGTGAAATGGCTGGTTATTCCAAACTACTGACCTGGAGGTTAACAGCCTAACTCGTAAACACAAGGTCATACAAATTTTTGTTAAATAAGTAAAAAAATTCACTAATGAGTCACCAGAATTAAAAGATCATATACCCAGAGTCCTAGTGGTTTAGTGGGTTATATATTTGGGTACTTATATCAAGGTCAGCAGTTCAAACCCACCAGTTACTTCACAGGAGAAAAAGGAGGTGGTATATTCCTGTGAACCTTAGGGAGCAGTTCTACCACGTCCTACAGAGTCATTATGAGCTGCAATCAGCTTGGTGACAATGGGTTTGGATTTTTCAATCGACAACATGACCTGAGTCAAATGACTTGACAGCAACTGGCCTAATCTGGGTGTTTATTATGACCCAGATATTGAAATATATATTTATATGTGTGTGTGTGTGTGTGTGTCTCTAAATAAAAGAATCCTATATAGTAGTCATGGTTTACAATGAAAAATTGAGCATGAATGACATGACTCTCCTGCCTGAGTGAATTATTAGCAGTATTAGGATACAGGTTCATAAAGTCTGACTTCAAAGGTCTTAACCAAAGCTTTTCATACTATTTTATATAGATATTCTGTGTACATTTAAAGCTTAATTTAGTCAGTGATCTACTTTCTTTTCATATAGGATTTTTCTTCCAATTCACTGAACATGGATTATTAATGTTTCAATCATGCTTCTATTCTTAATAGTCATTCTTGACAAGATTCTATAGTTTACAGAGCAGATCATCAGTTTTCCATTCAACATATCATGTTATTTTGCTTTATTACAATGACTGTAATCTCTTCCATGTACCAATAGTAAATATCATTTACCTCTATTCACTTTAACATTGCATTTTTCCCTGTGTCTTGAAAAAGATTCTTAAAGTATTATAAATTTTTTAAATATAAGGAAAAACCTCCACTCACACCTTTAATAATATGGAGAAACCTCTTAGTGTGGCTGTATGGGTTTTCTTTCTCTAGATTAAAAGAAATGGGAAATATTCTACTTTGACAAAGCTAGATTCAACATTTTCCCCAAAAGAGACTCTTGTTGTTAAGTGCCATCAAGTTGGTTTTGACTCATAGTGACTCTTTATCAGGTTTCTATGGAGTCCTGGCACAGTGCTGTAAGACAAGCACTGGACTGCAAGGTTGATGGTTCAAACTCATAAGTACTCCTGGGAAATCCTATACAGGGTTGCTATGAGTCAGAATCGACTTGATGGCACTTACCAACAACAACTAACAAGGAGCAGCTGGTGGATTTAAATCGCTGATCTGCGGTTAGCAGTCCAGTGCTTATCCATCTTATATCACCACACCAGGACTCCATAAAAGGCTCCTACTATTGGACTAATTATTAGTATTAACATTATACATGTCTGCACAGAAGTTCTCCTTTTTACAGTATTTTTAATTTAAGTTCCAAAGCTCTAAAGTGCCTACTGGTTCTAACAAACCAACCTGAAATTAGACATTAAAAAAAAATTCATGTTTGGATGAAAGTTTACACAGCACATTGATTTTCCACTAAAAAATTCATACACATTTTGCGTTGTGACAATAGACCCATTTTTAATCCTTGGTCAACTACCAGAAAAGTGAAAATCATGTTTAGTGTCAGAATTACCTTCTATAAAAAAAAAAGCAAGCAAAGAAAAGAGGCCTGAACTGATTTAACCAAAAGCATTCTTGCTACCTCAATCTTATAAACCAATAAAAAGTAGCAGTAATAGTTGGCATGTGAATACTTTTCACAATGTCTCATGAGATAGATAATAATTTTATCAATTATTAAATAAAAACATTGAGGCACACAAAAGATCCAAATCAATGTTGTTGAGTTAATTCTGACTCATAGCAACTCTGTAAGACAGAGCAGAACGTCCCCACAGGGTTTCCAAGGCTGTAGTCTGCATGGCGGCAGACCACCACATCTTTCTCCTGCAGAGCATCTGGTGGGTTCAAACTGCTGATCTTTTTAATTAGCAATCAAGGGATTAACCATATACCATCAAACCCAAACCTAAACCCTTTAACTCACAGCAGCCCTATACAGGGATTCTGAATCTTTA